CATGAGCAGAGTACAGTCTGATTGGTTTTTTGGAGCTCAAATTAAATTGTCAGTGTCCTGCAAAAACATGCATGAGATTGGGTATGTGGCTGAGCTCCAAACCTGGCCTAGTCTGATGTCTCAACTCAGAAGAACTTTATTAAATTTGCTGTCTGTCTCAAGAGATACATACTTGCTCTTATGCGGGAGATATGAGGAAATTTGACATAGATTTTGTGAATATCAACCCCTTTCATAAGGTAAACTTCTTCTCTTTTCTCCTTTCTATATTGGTGGTTTATCCTTTTGTTACAAATGAGGCACTGAAGAAATATGCAGGATGTGAACATTAATGCAGAAAATATATCCACCCTTATGAATCTGTAGCATAATAGGTTCCTAACTATAAAACCTCTGTGTGTGTCTGTCTGTGGTGATTTCTGTTGGAATGCATCTCTTTCAGATTGACCTTTTGACATTTAAAATGACATTTTAGCCTGGCCTTGTACAGACTGCCTTTTCATTAACTTTAAACTTATAGCTCTTGTTTCTCTCTTTTCTAGATAGAGGAGCGAGCAGAATTTTTGAACAAATCCGCTCAGAAGAGGTAAAGCAATAAAACAGTAGGTTCAGTCAAAAGACCAGTGTTTAATTGGAGGGAATAAAAATTTCTTTCTCTCTTTTTTTCTACTTTCTACAGTGGTATGAAACCCACCCACACGACAGCAGTTGTCTCAAAGATTGACAGTAGACTTGAGCAATACACTAGTGCAATTGAGGTAAGTTAATTCCAGGTCACAATGGCTCTAGTTACTAATGGCTTTTGGGACTTTAATAAGCCTATGTTTTACTGCTCAAGAATTGCAGGGATTTTTGGTCACAAACGCTTTTTTAATGTGACTTCAAGAGCAAAATGCTTGAGGCACACCTATAACCACCATATAGGTATATATCTAAAGAAAACCTCAGATTTGTGTCTTCCCTTTCATGTTACAATTTACTCTGTCTGCTTTGTAAGCTTGGAGTAGCTCTTGAAGGACTCAGTCAGCATCTCTTGAGTGACAGTCGCATCCTCTTCTTGGCTGATGAGAGTACTATCAGCAGAGAGCTGATAGTCATCCTGAGCAAAGCTGACTTAGCAGCTTATTTACGAGAGCAAGGAACGGGGCCTGTGCTGCTGGCTGCCACTTCAGAGTGAAATTCCTTGGCAAAGAAAGACACTTTAGTGAACTAGGAAGTTAAGCAGTGACAAAGGAAAAACGGAATCAAAATAAAATGCAGAATTTGACGTCAGGTGATTTTGACAAGTAGTGGCTAATAACGTGCCTTGAAGCCAGAATTGAGGGCTTTTTCTTTTTATAGTCCAAGTCAAAATAGGTGTTTGGGTTTTTTGTTTTGGTTTGTTTTGGTTTTAGCTGTTTTTATAAATCAGTGAGTACAGGCAATGTGAAAGCTACTGGTTAATATAACAGGCCAGCTGGACTGGGTTGGAAGGTGTCATGGGAATAAAATAGTATAAAAAAGGATATTATCTTGATAGCTGTGATTAAGGTCCAGCACTACTTCATTCCCTGCTGGATTTTTTTTCTCCTCTTGTTCACATAAGTGTCTAAGCATGGTATTCCATTAAGGTATTAATTGGTTAGGCTTTATTATCCTTGAACCTAAAAGAAACTTTAGTAACTAAAGATCAATTAACAAAGGCTTTTTTCTGTGACTGCTGTCCATTTAACTTTTCTGCTAGGAAGCCTATCAGTGCCAGAGAGTTTTATACTGTGTATCAGTTCCCAATGAAAAAAAGCACATGCATGACAGTGCTGAAGGCTCAGGCTTGCCTCCAGCACCTCTGTCAAGCTGAAGGTAGCTCAAACCCCTCCATTAGTGATGAATGTCAGCATGGCACCCAGTAGTTCCCATATCATTGAAGTAGGAGTGTACAGCTTCTGCCCTCCTACTTCACTCTGTGCCTTTTCTGGATAAGACATGACCACCCTAGGGCGACCAAAGGTTTTAACTCGGCACCGTGGTTTGATGTTAAACTTATTAAAGAGAGTGGACGGTTTGGAGCTACAGATCCATCTGTCATAAGAAATTTATGTAATAGTGAAGTCAGGGTTTGTCAACTCATAAACACTGGACCAGCCCACCCACCAGCTTATGTTAGGTTCTCCAGTATTTTCGGTAGGGGTGTGCTAAGGTCCTGAGTCTTTATGCTCCATTTAGATATTAAAAAGCATAGCTCTACGGCAAGGGGCAGGCAGTGCAGCTTCACAGCTATATACAGCTCCCATCTGACCTGAAATTATTCCTTTGCTGAGTTTCTGATTTTTCCAAAAGTTGCTAAATCTGGCTTGCTTTGCAACTAGAGAGGCAAAGCCTCAGCTCATACAGGTTCTTATTCTCCTCAAATCTGTGTTATGTAAAATGCACAAGAATTTTGAACAGAAGGAAGAGGAGGAGTTTGGTCCAGTGTTTTTGGTAACCATGCAAAAGAGACACTGCCAAAAAAAACCCCAATCCCCCAACCCCCCACTCTTTAAAAAACCACCTCATTCCAAATATACTGTAATTGCTGAAGTCTACCCCTAGAATCCCAAGTTGTGAGGTTGTCTGGGACAGATGGAACAGAGTCTGATTCTGAATGACAGAGCAGCCTTTCTCCCCTGCCTCTGCATAAGGATTTCTTTAGCTGTGTCCCTGAAAGAGCCATGCTTACAGGATGCAGGTGCTGAAACTTGGAAGAGGACAAATGAAAGCCTTGGAGCAGTTGTGTGCAGAGCTGTGGTTTGCCATGAGCTTTAGAAATGCAAAAATCTAAGTGATTGCAGTTTTCGTAGCCGGTCGTGTCAAGGGTGCAACTGCAAGTCAAAATGGGGAGAGTCTCAGTGGCATCTCTTGAGCTGGGTACTCCTTTCCGTCTTTGCATGATCATCGCTAGAACCACTTACAGCTGCTGCATTCCCCAGCACTGTCCCAGAGTCAAACCACCCCGCGACTCCAGCTCTTAATGCCAAACACCAACTGGCCTCAATTCTTCTGTAGGGCACAAAGGCTGCAAGACCAGCTAAGCCAGCAGCCTCCGACCTTCCTGTTCCAGCTGAGGGTGTCCGTAATATCAAGAGCATGTGGGAGAAAGGGAATGTTTTTTCATCACCCTCTGGGACAGGAACACCAAATAAGGTATGTGTTTAATTTTACATAGTGATTATGAAGAATTATGTTACGGACCTGACCTTGCTATTCATGTTCCTATGAGTAAGCCTGGCTGCTCCTGTTGACATCACTGGTGAATAATATCCCAACAGATCCTGAGGTCCTCAGAAACCCACAAAATTGTGTGGCTGCAATATCGAGTATAACGGAAGAATTTAGTGACATACTGAGCTAAGTTATGAGACATTCCAGAGCCACATCAGATATCTTAGACAAATATATCTGGGTAGTTCAAGCGGAGTACAAAGAAATTCTTTGTGTTGGGAAAGATTCTTTTGAGGGGCAGAGGAGGATTAAATAGGCAAGATAATGATGATGTTTTATAGATAATGCATAGAAGCATTTGTTGAGACCTTTATCTTTTCTATGTAAATCCTTAAGGCAACATTTCCTTTCTATAAATTGCTGTGAGTTGATGAGCATTCATCATAGCTAAAAAACTGAGCCATGGATTGAAGGGGATTATTAGAGATGGCCATGAAATTTCAGTAATTTGTTCTAACCTTTTAAAGATTTATTTTAATGATTTAAATTTTAGGCCACTTAACTCCTCTCTTATGTGCTTTTTTGAAAAATTTTAGTTTAACAAAACAAAAATGTAGACTTAGACTGGTGTCTCTTCTTCTTTTAGGCTAAAGATTTTTTTCTCCTTGGAGTTTGGGGTTATGACAGAAACAGCAGGTGTACATCTAACAATTATTCCTGGGTTAGCACTAAAGTGGAAATTATTTTGTCAGCCCACATTTATCGTTATTGAAAAATAGAGGGTAGTAGTACTGTGTTCATACTTGTTCATAGGGACAATAATTTCAGAGCACACAGGATAACTCTTAGCTAGCCACAGTCTCAGTGAGGACCTCTATATTAAACTCAGCTTGGCTTTGTTTTTAAATCTAAACCGTGGAAAACAGCAAAAGCTATTCTGAAAGTCTTCTGATTAGATTTTATTATTTTGCAGGAAACTGCTGGACTGAAGGTTGGTGTCTCCAGTCGTATCAACGAGTGGTTAACCAAGACCCCAGAGAGCAACAAATCACCTGCTCCAAAACCTTCTGTAAGTAAACCTGCAACAGCCATCTCTTCAGTAGGTGGGTTCTCTCCTGCAGCAGAGGCGGTGACAGTGCTTCCTCAACCAGTTGATGGTCTTTAGAGGAACCTTGCTGCATGTCCTCTCTTGGAAACTCACAGAGGCCCTCTGGCTGCTGCCTCCTGGGTAGTCAGAAAAGGGGGGGTTGAAACAGAGCAGTTCTCACCTTAAAGCTTAGGGGTGCTCTAAAAAGACAGTGCTCAGGGGAACACTTCTCTGGTAGAGGAGGACATTAATTTACCACCTGTGAGAGGCCTACCATTATTTTAGAACTTACCAGCTGTAGACCTTGGATGAAACACTTATGCTTTGGCCCTTGCCCTGTAAAAGTATGTTTTTAAAAACAACTGAAATACTTCAATCCTTTAAGAGCCTAAATGTCATTTCTAATGAAGGCGCTTTAGCATGCCCATTACTTCAGCAAGAATCAGAGCAGAAAGTGCTATCAAAGTTATAAGCTGGAAGTGTGGGAAGCAGCAGCGTGGATGTGGGAAGGAGCAGAAACAGGTAATTGTGGGATGGGGAAAGGTAGGGATGAGGAACTGGAGCTGTAGGTGTCCGTACTGGAGAATGGCAGGGCATCACTTGTGGTGTTAATGATTCGACTTTGGGATTTTATTAAAGCACTGGTTTCTTCCCATATCCTTGTGTAGCATTTTTCTGCCACTCCACTTTCCCTTTATAAAAGGTGCAGCCTGACAAATGCTTTCTCAATTCACACTGCTGTTTGTTCCAAAGAGGACCTTGAAATTTGCAGCGTTGTCCCTAATTTCAGTATTTACTGGTAGCTACACGGAGATTGTGTCCTTATGGACATGAATATGAAAACAAAAGAAGTCATTGTGGTCGCTGTATTTAATCACAACCACTAAAAACCAGCACAGAATCTGCCTCCAGATTTTCCTCTCTTTCTTTTAAGTTGCATCTTTTAGATAATGTAAAACTAACCTCTTGTTTTCCCCTCAGCCAACTGTTTCTATCTATGTCTTCATTTCCCTCTTTCTCAATAGATTGTTCTTTCTTCTCTCAATACCTCTGCTTGAAGGAACCTGCCCTCCTATTCTTCTTCTTTGGGGGTCTGTTTGCTAAGGTGGTCAGGTAAACCTGTTTATAACTGACTATGAAGAATGATATACATCTGTAATGTGTGATTTTTACTTTTTTTTTACCAGGGTAAATCAAAGGGAAACCTAGAATTTCTTAGTTAGCAAATAACTTCCTACCCCCATCACATTCCACCAAAATAATTGTTTGAAGCTTTTGTGACCATTGAGATTCTTGTGGGTTTTGGAACAACATTCAATTAAAAGTAGAGGGAGCAAGGTCTCAACTAGTTTCATGGTGAACCTAAATCACAGATCCCAAATGATTTCAGGATTATGGAAGCGGTTTTGTGATAATGTCCACTGCAAGTACTTTTGTGATAAGGTCCACTGCAACTTTGCTGTTTTCTTCCTTCCTCTGTTACTGTTGACATTTTTGAAATACAGAATTGGCTTAGTCTTAACCATCAGCAACCCTCTTTGGCTGTAAATTATGATCAATTCTAGAGCCTCTCTGTTGGGTGCAAATACTTCTTGCAGAAATCACATTTCCATTCACCACTGGGCATTTTTCTATCCCAAGTTAGAAATTCTCATGTGTAGAAAACTACCTACCTATGGATGGCAAGAACAAGATTCTGGAAACCATGCAGGACTTGAACACTCTTTGAAAAGGAGAGTACTTATGTCCAAAATTGTTTCAGGAGTCTTTTGTTTGCCAGCCACAGAGGTAGATACCAATCCATCCATCTTTAAGCAGGTGCATTGCTACTAGCCTAGCATATGTCATCTTGATTTGTAACCCTGCTTTTCCCCAAGAAGCAGCTTGACATTTTTACTGAGTTTTGCTTAAAGTCTCCATATACACTCATTTTCAGAGAATATTATTATTTTTAATGACTTTACGTCACCTGTTTTTTTCTGTCAGGCTAGTGATTGGTACCTAAACCTGAACTAATGTTGGTTTCTGTTCTCTGACATTAATTTAAAAATACAGGATTTAAAACCAGGAGACGTATCCGGCAAACGTAATCTCTGGGAGAAGCAGTCAGTTGAAAAGCCATCTTCTTCTTCTTCTAAGGTAACACTTCACCGCATTGTTAAAAGGATAATATCTCTGTGGGAGGCTTTCTAGGGGGAAGGTGCTGTTTGCCTTCATATGATCAGTTAATTGAAATCAGGCCTCTACATGTTTTTTGTTACTTAACCTGCTTTTTTGTCTATAAAAGAGAGTACAATGAGGTACAGAAAGCCATGGGCAGCGTGTAACTTTTGTATTCCTATTTGGCAGAGCTGTGTTGTGCATGGAAATCTGTCCTTTGCATGGAGTTGATTTTTTTTTTCCTGTTATAAATAGCTATGTTTTCCCATATTCAACTTTAATAACAGGTTATTACTTCTTCAAACAGGTATCAGCTATGGGGAAAAAGTCAGAGACTAATGGTAAGTAATTCTAATAATACACCTGCATATTAAATAGAAACTTTGCCACATTTTCCTACAGGTACACCTGAGTTTTAAAATACTACAGCTGTTAATGTTGATGCGAAAAACCTCCCCTTTTTGCCTTTACCTTTCAAAACCTCCATTGCAATATCATCAAAACATGAACGTTTGAGAAATAAGCCTAAATCATCTTTCTAGGAGGACTGAGGACTAGCTGTGCTCCAGCCATGTTTGCAAAGCTTTGAGTGACATGCGTAGCATGTTTGCTGTAGCTGGAGAGTGTCATTAAACTGTGTGAAGTCCGAGGAACAGGATGGTCATTTAATTAATTACAGCAAATGCAAGGCATCTGGGAAAGGCTCTTTTAAAGGCTGCAGCAGCATTATTTGAGCAGAAATGGAAGATCTCAGTACTGCTCAGAACGAGCTCTGCATCTGATTTTAAACATTGCCACTGGGTAATGGTGAAGCCTGATGAAAATTCAGCAGTGTTGATTTTTAAAAATAATTCCTCTGGCTAGTTGAGTCTCGTGCTCCTGCATACTCAGACTGGAATGGAGTTCAAATGCACTCAGCAGCAGCCCTGCTTTTGCTGGAGCTGTGCATTGGTGTCTTCTCAAGGCAGAAAGAATCCTACTACTGTCATTTTGAAACTGCTAGTTTGGGAAACACAACCTAGTTGTACAGAAATAAATCTGGACCAGTGGGGAAGAATGGAAATTCACTGATCAATTTAATAGCTTTAAGATGTCTTGCAACATCCCTTGACTCTTCACTAGAAATGAAATGATCATATATAGAAAACCTTTTGGTTTCCTATACATTAGTATGTGCACATATTTTTCTTCACATTTGTATGTGAATCCAGAACTATGGTATGCCTGTGAACTTTTCTTATCTGTTTAGAGTCATGCAAAATGGAATCGTCTTCCTCCTCCTCTTATCCTTTTTCAAACCAAGCTGTTAGGAGAGGGGTTTTCAGGCTCGCTCAGCGTTAGTGCTGCTCTGCTCCCACAGAAGGTGTTAGTGGTTGCGCATCGTTGCTTACAGGAGCAGACCCTCGGACACCGCCGAGCCTCTCCTCTAAGGCTGAGTGAGATGAGGGCTTCAGCAGAGAGGTTGCAGGAGGAGGCTCTCAGGAGATGGCTTTCAGTTTTGCTGTGGACTCGGAGTGCGTGCACCAAGCACGGCAGCACAGCTTGCCTTAGCATGGCAGGCACCCATGTGTGGCCGGGAAGGGCGCCTCATGCAGCACCCCCCACATTTCTGGGTGGGAAGCTCCTGAGCTCTCCCTGAGCTGCTTCCCGGGGCTGTCGGAGGCGAGAGAGGTGAAATCCTGCTTGTCGTCTCGGGGTTGCTCAGAGGTGGTCTCCGCTACAAGAGCACAGCAGCATCCACCTTGTGTCCTGCCTTCTTACATGCTGTGTGTTAATCTAGAGCCATGCCTTCTCTATTTTAGAGATACGTTTGGGTTATTTCAAGCCATCTTTAATCTTTCTCTTTCTCAGCAGGTTTGAGACAATTTGAGAAAGAACCATAGAAGGCCGCTAAAGACGCTGGACCAATCTGTTGCGGGAAAAAAAAAAAAAAGGAAAAAGTGCTAAATTGTTCTTTTTATATTTATGTTTATTTACCAAAATGTCTTTTTGCATTATCCCAGTTAAAACCATGTATATTAGCACTGTATTTAATAATCAGTCTAGACATTCATCATAATAGTACTGCCTTTGCACAAGAGCCTTTATTCCTAAAGAAACCCATGCTGTGAAATATATAGACTCTCCTACTGATAGTCATAACTATGAATCTGAACAGTGATTTCAGCTGGCGTAAGAGGTCAACCCAAAATGCGTGTAAAGTGAAGTTGCTTAAGAAAGGTGTGCAGTAAACCTATAAAAACAATGGTTACTTTTGTAATACAGAAGTCTTTCTTTCTGCACTTTAGACTAAGGCATGGAAGAAATATCTTTAGTTGACAATGTAATATTTTCTGTAAGTTGCCCATGTCATGAGAAATACTGCATCAATAACGTGTTTTAATTTTTTTGTTTTATACTTTTTTAAGTATCAATTTTTCCATTCTAGTTTAAGTTAATACCTAAATTTGGATGATTATGTTAGCTGACAGCGGTACTGATATTTCTTTTTGTTGTTAGTGACTAGTAATTGAATGCAATTTAGAATATATACACACATAGCTTTAAAAAGTTTAGCCTAAAGGCACTATTAATGGTAGAATGCTTTAATACGTGCTAGAGTATTATATTTAGTAATAAACATACATAATTAGCCAATATCACAGCTTAAAAAAATAAAGACAAAATCACACACTTTTCTATAGTAAGATTTCATAATTGCCATTAGAGGTATGGTGAGATAAGTATTAAAAAATTTTAAATGTCAGTTGCCCAGTAATGGGTAATTAAAAAGAAAGTATAGTTTTTAAAAGAGGAAAAGGTAAGGGTATAGATGGTCAAAAATAGGTCACTTGTATAAAACATTGTAGTTTAATTTATATAAAACTACCATAATTAAAAAGAAAAAAAAAAACTAAACACAGTTGGAGCTTGTTTCAAATGACTGTACACTAAATCTTGCCATCCATCAGTGCCGTACACTAAGTCCACCTAAAATGAAGTAAACCTCTGTCTTTATAGTGCTTCTTTTTAACTCTCTCTCCTGAATATCTTATTTGCAGATGTTTTCATTTGTATATAGTAAACACATGGCTATAAGACGTCAGCTTGGTTTGAATTTACATGCCATACAGTTTAGCGTTTACATCCTACAGTGTATGGGTGGCATAAACTGAGCAACTGAAGTACCCCCTAAGCACGTTGTTAACAGCTTTGTTGCGCATCAGAACTACCAGGATCTCCCTTTTCACCACTTCTATCTCTTACAACATCTGACTTCTTCCTAAAGAAGAAAAATGTTATATTGCAACCCAAAGATGAGCTCCCCTGCTTGGCTGAAACATCTTGTTTACATATAGAGATGCACGTAGTTATCTGTAGGGGGTGAAACTGTGCCTGACATTGTCTGTGAGTTGTCATGTTTTTTCTTTGGGGGTTTTTGTAAACACTCCTCTGAGTCTTCCAAATACATCCGATAGCTGCAATAAAAATGATTTGTTCAAACAATGTATTCTGAAACTGCATCCACAATAAATGGAATATTTCCATCAGCAGCCCCGTGTTTGTTAATGAGTAGGAACAAGCCAGTTGTTGTAACTGGGATAGGAATTGTGCTAAGGCCATGTAAAATAAGGTATCATTGCAAAGAACCTCGAAGGATGTCTCTCCTGATGTACTATCCTACACCAAACAGCCAAGTCATAAAATCAGCAGTTTTAACCTACACATTCTTAAGAAAAAAAAAAAAATCTTAATTGTCATGCCTATCAGTACAAGACAGGAGCTTTGCATCATCCAGAAGTCAGCGCACTCGATGAAGTAGGTTCTGACCTAGTGGCACAGCTGTCTGCTTTCCTGCTTTGAAAAATGTTTTCTGTGTGAGAGCCGTCGTATTTCTTCTGTCTACCTCGGTGGGATGTGCTTCCAGGCTTGGATGATCATGGGGACCAAGCCTGGAGAGCTGCTGGCTTTCCCGTTGTCCTCCTATCCCTTTCATTTTTTTTCTAATGGCAGCACAGCACGTAACACCCTGCTGTAACCAGGTCATGGTCATCCGAAAGAGGCCCCCTCAGGCTGCCGCCAGCTCCACAGGAAGCACTGGGAAGGCTGCAGCCAAGCACAGCTTTCTGAACTACTGGGGGAGAAATAATCGGATGCTGCCTAATTTAACCTGAAAAGAGCTTGTATGCCTGCAAGCGTGCCCGTTCTCCTGCCTTGTACTGACCAACTACGTTGCTACCTTTCTCTGCAATCTTTGCTGAAATGACGCTTTTCCTTGTTGATGTGGGTAAGTTTCTTTTGCTCCTGGTTATTGCCTTTTCTGAGAGCGTGGAAGCATGCTGGGCACAGTCGGTTTTACTTTTAGGAAATACTGTGAAGTGGTGCGGTCATGGTTTGTTCCCACCAGCTGGCCCCACCTCCTGGTAGAATTCGCCAAAGACAAATCCTGGTGGCTGAGTCAGCAGCACTGCAAGGTTTTTTTGTGTTTTGATGCCATTATGAGGTGATGATTTTTCAGATGATACCAGATTGTCACCTTAGCTTCTGATCATGCTTTCCTGAAGCTCACTCAGCATCCTAGCCAGACTTTGTCTTGTCAGTGTGCAGAATGCCACGAAACAGCCTTTTTCAAGCCTGCCTTTGCTTAGGCCTAGCGTTACCCATCTGAAAATACGCCAAAGCAATTGTGAGTCTAGCTCAGGGTTTGCTTTGGTGTTTTTAAAGAAAAGCTTTTCTATGTTTTCCTTAGATAAAGCCAACCCTCGTCTGGATATATTGTTCTGAATGCTGCCAGCAGAGGTGCAAAAATCTAATTTTGTGTTTGAGACTTTCAGAGCAAGTCAGTCTGATTTTGTAGGTACCCCATATGTTTGGCTGGGTGTATTTTGATGTGTGTTATCACTGCATATGATGCTGTCTTCAGCTTTTCACCTCTTGTCTTGCAAGAGTTCAACTTTTATTTGTCCGGAGGGAGGGCTACGTGGAGTAATAGGTACAACTTTGTTCTTTAGGTTCTAGCTAGAGCATGATCCTGTTTGATGCATAAGCCACAACGTTGTCTCTATGTATTGTCCTTGTACAGGAATTACCAAAGCTCATTTCTAGCTGTATTAAAATTTAAAAAAAAACAGACTTCAGGCATGTTTTATAACTAATTGTATGAAACAATTTAAGCACTACACTGATTAAGTTTTGTTGTTATTCAAACTTTATTAATATAAAATATTAAAGCATTAAAGAGTCACACTACAAAAATCAGAACTATGTAAAAAGCAAAGTAATTAAAGACAGCATTCCTTGACAGCAACTCATGAGCCAGTATGACTGACCGCACTGGAAATAACATATAAAAAAAAAATCAATCTTGTAAGTAACCAAAGTTTTTTGTTAAACATGTCTTTAATTAAGGAAGACAAGGAAAAAAGGAAATGAAGAGACATTGCCTTTTTACTTCTGATCAGAAACAGATTTCTGTTAGCCATCATAACAAAAGACCCATCCCTACTGATACATTTTTATGCCAGCTAGTGGTCTCCTCCTAAAAAAGGAGGACAAGTAACTGGTCTTAATCATTGTCAAGTACAGAAGAAATCATCAAGACTAAGCTATAGCATACATCTTCTAATCTGGAAGGAGTTACACGGAGATCTCGTAGAAACCACTGGCATTAATACTCTGCTTTGAATGGGTAGTCCTTGTGATTGACAGCTCTGAGAAGAGAAAGAACTGGTTATTTAAGTATTGTAGGAAGTATCTTCAGCAGCATTTCCTGACTGCGGTCTCCCTTCCCCACTGCCAATGTACTCAAGTTTTGCTTCATTAATTTGAAGACAGGCTTGTGAACAAGCATGTGCAACACCAAGATGCTGAAGGGAATGCCCTGAATGTATCTCCCTCCTGATGTCAGTTCCAGGATGTGTCTCATTACCTGGGATCCAGGGTTTGAGATATGAGCTCTCCCTGGTTTTGGTCAGGTATGTTTTCAAGATATGCGGGATGAAAATACAGATAGAGATAGGCCTAGTGGATAATAAGGATAATAAGGAACATACTTGAGCACTGGAACTGCCCTCCAGTTCCTGTTAAAGCTGAGGATGACATCCATCTCCTTTTTAGACAGTTCAAAATCAAACACCTAGTCGGGGGGGAGAAAAAAGCAAGCCTTTTTTACTTAGGTTCATGAGTAGTTGGCTACTAAGTGTGCTTCATGCATTTATGACTTGAGGTAGGAACATACTGCATCCACACTAAGCCTAGTTAAGAAATCCTCTTATTTCTGAGCCAAATACCAATCTACCCTTGAAGTTGTAAGGACAGTCCTTTTTTCTCTGAGGCGCTGTTCACAGCAATGTCTTATAGTTCTGGGTGGTTGAATGCAGACACCACTGCAGTTTGTGTTGTAGTGCAGAGACAGAAAACTTAAGGCGCTAGGGATAGATTACTTGATGCGTCACAAGTACTGGAACTAGCAATAAATATTTCTGCTACAACAGAGGACTACTGGGTACCAACTGCAAATAGTTGTCTCACAGGTAATCAATCACCTAAGAATTCTTGCTGGTGGTTCATAGGAGAAACAAGTCCAAAACGTAGCAGCATGAATTGAAAGTAACACAGAGATATCATCTAAGATGCCAGGCCTTATGAGCAAACATCCAGCTGAACCTCCCTGCCAGGGGGAACCACAGCCTCGAAGTGAGACATAAACCGTCATGGGTCCAGTATTTACAATTTGTTCCTTTACACCCTAAAGAGGGGCTCATTAAGCATCTCCCACAGGGCAAGTCCAAAGTTATCTCCTGGCAGGAACAAAATGCTTTTCCCTGGAGAACAAGTGCAGGTGGTTAGGTAGTGCTGAGCCCCAATCTTTACGCCTCTGCGCTGCCCTTTCAATGCCTCTTAGGTGCTGCTTGGAAACCCAGAGATATGGGTGTGGGTGCTATCCTGTGTAAAAAGGTGGCAGCAGTCCCAATGGAAACTTCACCTTAATGTTTTCCTCAACACGGTGTGGTTTGTCAGACTTGGGAATGACAATCACGTCTCTTTGGATAAGAAACCGGATCAGAACCTAGGAAAGGGCAAGTAGGAACATGAACGCAGGGGTACCAAGAAATCTGTTCAAATGCATTTTGTGTTCTCTCTTACCTTCCCCCCGCACCTCCACATGCACAAACCAATTTCTCTTTCTACAACCATGTTCACTTCTGGAAGATTCTACCAGTTTGCATACAGGAGTTCGATGTGCCAGCATTTGCTTGCAGTCTACTGACAAACTACAATTGTTTCTGGCTTATATTGTTTCTACATCCTGGTTTCTCCAGGATTTGTTTTGTTTTCATTTAGGGTAGGAGGCAGGGAGAAAAATGATGATGTTTCTGGCTTGTGTTATATGGGTGCTCAGACCAAATGAGCATAATGATACTGCAGATTATTTTGGGCTCACAGATTAAGTACCTCACCTAGGTTAAGCTTTCTGAAGTCCTTAAAAGGAAAAACATGTTTTTTTTTCCTCCCCTCAAAAAAGGATTGTTGCATACAATTTTTTGTTCTGCTCTGTTTGTCTTAATATGACTGTGGTTGATTGCCTGTGAACATGTGGATTTGCTTGAAGTGCAGTTTCTGCATGCCCTGCACAAGAACTCATTTGTGTGACTAGCAACTAATAGAGAAAAAATTTCATCTTGAATAATCAAGCAGCTTTCAATGATTCTTTGCAAACAAGAGCAAACAGGGAGCAATCAAATAGGTCTGCAAGTTACAGGGCTTCTCTGAAGATAACTTGGCTAACTTAGCTGGAGAAAGGAATAACAAGTTGGCTTGATGACTTGTAAGTAAACCTCAGAGGAAAGGGGTTCTCAGGGAGCAAGCACTTCTCTCTGGGAGCAGAATAAATCTCCCTAGGAAGGGGGACACCTGAGGTAAGCACGTACCACCCTCCAAAGCTCGGCACTCAAGATCTCTTAGAAAATACCTGGTAATTTGTGTGATTGCTGGTAAGAACTGGGGCAGTATGAAGAGTTAAGTGCAGTTCAACCCCATTATACTGTACCTTTAGAGAAGGCAGCATCTGCTAAGACTGGCCATCAGCTTGTAAAAGTGTCTGAGGAGAAGGAATAGTTTGCCCTGACAACCCCGCTTACCTGGGCAGGGGTTTTATGATGTCTAACTGCAATCTCTTTAATCCCGGGATCATCCAGCAGCACAGGTTCCCCTGGCTTGGCCCTATTAAAAATGAAAGCCAGGATATTGATGATAGAAAGGTATTAGCTTCCCTGCAGGAAGCCTGACACTTTTGTGAAATAATCTGCAACAAAGCAACAGCACTTTTCTCATTATACCTGCGTTATTTACATCATTTCCCTCAAAGATTTAAGTTGCAAATGCATTGTTTTGTATACAGAAAAGCTGCAATGCTTTCTTACCATGGGCGGTTAGGAGAGCCAAGGGGGCTGTATGCTGTCACAGCAATCCCTTTGGATTTACAGTACTTGATCAACTTTTCCTGGGTTAAGTATGGGTGACATTCGATCTGTAAGCACAGAAACACAGTGGTTGACACAGAGGCAGACTGCACTGATGAGTTCCAGAGCATAAATAACATTTTAATTCCTCTTGGGTCGCAGAAAATGTCAACACAAGACTCCCAATATAATGATTAAAATCTATCTTATAAAAGAGTTATTCATGTCACAGCAATATCTAGAGGCCTGGCACAGAGAATAGGCTTCCTCATGCTACATATTACACAAAGATAGTGAGAAATAGATGAGAAGAGTGAAAGTGCCGTCTGTATCAGGAATCGGGGAAATCAGTCTTCCTGGACTACTGGAGAGCAGGGCTGCATCTTCAGAGGGGCAGCTCAGAATACCTGAAGTTTAGTTTTTGCTCCGAGTCACCCAACCTCTCCCTAAGGAGTCTCCCCGACTCCTGAAGAAGCCTGGGGAGATGAGCTTCCCTAGGTTAGCTCAGATCATGTTGCAACCAGCCATTCAGGCGAGACATCCCGTAACTGGAAACAACAGGAGCCTACACGGGGATGCTGCTCAACTTGCCACAAGCCATAGCATCATTACAGGGCTATGTCTACAGTGCATAACGTGGCACCATGCACATACCCAGCTGTTTCTAAATGCTACAGCGAAATCCATGTCCAGTAGTTCATTTAGACCTGAGCTAGACTAGGCAACTACTGTAACGACAGTGTGTGGCACAGACACACCCATGGAGAAGCAAACTGGAGTCAGAGCCTGAAGTTCTTTGAAGTGTGGAAGTTGGTGCAGCTTTTAACATGGGGGTAGTTGGGTCCATCGCCACCAGAACTTTATACCCCTCAATAAAATCTTTCCAAGTCCTATGTCCCCCTTGTGCTGGTGGTGCACACACTAGCCCCAAGCCCGGCATCACAGCGCAGCAGCACAGGCAGCACTGTGCCTGCACGGGACCCAGTGTGGGGATTTCCCTGGATATTCCCAAGCCAGCAGAGATGGGCATTCAGCACCCTCAGCCGAGTGCAAAGAAGTTGCATATGGAAGAAAGTCAGAAGGTCCTGATGCCCCTGCTGTCCTGTGATTTCATTCATGAGGTATGTGGTGAGAATTTCTTATATAATTGTACATGTCAGTCCTCCTTTTTATAATGAAGTTTAGTGAAATGGTTTATTTTATGTTGAAAATAAGTAAGTCCAGTGAATGAGTGAGAGCATTCCTGAGCATTCCTGTACATTCCTATGCCTGTGCAGTAGCTCATAGTGGGGATTTTGCTGGTTATCCCAGGGCTGGCAGAAATGGGCCTGTGGCAACTTGGGCTGTGACATTGGGAGTGTGAAAGAGGACATGTAGCAGAAAGTCGCAAGGTCTTGTACATGGTAATGGATATTTTTACTTTTTTCCAATGTCTAAAAATGAAATATTCCTATCTGTTTCATATTACTGTGATATGAATAATCCATACTGTTTTATGTGGTATTGCTCTCAAATTTCCACTGCATTATATACATACAAGTCTACAAAAAAGTTTTCTGTTGAGATCCCTGTCAGCTAAAAAACATCAGCACTGTCACCATACCAAAGCTTTGCATATTGCAGGCAGTACTGACTTGAAGGGACTTCCAGACAACCACAGATACCCAGTGCTTTGCAAGATCTTACAATGGCACCAAAACTATTTAAAGGTCATGGCAGAAGTCAGTTTTAGAGCTGAAGTATAGCAAGAATATATTTAGGAATATTCCAAGGTTAGTTGACATCAATGGAAATAAAAATCTTACCTGGTTATTTACCGGCTTGTATTTCAGTCCTGGCTTGTTCAAGATTCTTTCAATCTGCTCGTGGTTAAAGTTGGAGATACCAATGGCTTTTACCAGACCACAGTCCACCAGCTCTTCCATGGCCTAATGAGTAAGGACAACCAACGTGTATTTATGAGGTGGTATTACTGTCAACGACACTATTTTATTTCCCTAAAGCTAGTGACAAACCAACAAACAACCCATGCTAGATTAAATAATAGTATTCCAAATTAAAAAAATAAGTCTTTGCACCTTGTATTATCTGCATACTTTATGTTCCATTGCAGATGGGAAAGTAATATAAGAAGAATGGCTTGGCCAACCCTTTTGTAATGGGAAGCAAAATCTTTTGCTTTGGCTTCTTTGGGGGTCATTTTACCAGAGCTAAAAAAGCAAGGGAGACCCCTCCACCTCCTCCTGTGCCAGCACACCACCTCTGAGTTGGCAGAACACAGCAGGGAGGATGTTAGCTTAAACTCAGTTACCTCAGAATACTTTCTTGCAACTGTAATCTGCTATTGTAGAGAAAACTATTAATTCCCAGAGTTGTAGCACCACAGAAGTGCAGGTAGCAGGAGCAGACCCTGAATCCTCTCAGTCCACAAGGAAAGGAGGATTGAAGGACAGCCTGAGATGCTGCTGCCCAACACTGAAAAGTGTGAGAATTCCCTGTGTAACACGCAGTAAATTAACAGCCACACCTGGATTAATCTACACTTCAGTTCTACTATTATGCATATTCAAATATTATTTTAGTGACAGCACCTACAGTGCTGATAGTTTCCTACTCTTTAGTCTTATTAAAGACATCCCTCTCTTGCTCCTCAAAACAAGGGGTAGCAGCAGCTCTACTCATTCTGGTCATGAAATACAATTTTGTGTGACTATCCTCTGTACCCAAACCTATCCCTTAATTTCATTGTACACGCAGATCTCTGTTCCATCTTTAGTGCTGACACCTGCTCAAAAGAGCAAACATTAACTTACCTCCCATGTGTCCAGAAAATCAGTATCACTGGGGATACTCATACCCTTGTCATCCACAGGATGCAGTTCTTCACCAGCCTGTTATTTCAAGGCAGATAATACACAGACTTTTAAAAAGAATTTAATTTCCTACTGTTTACTAGCACTTCTGACTGGAATTATAGGCAGCAAGTTATTTAAACATATCACATAACTAAAAATTATGCATGTTCATCAGTATTTGCTTTTGGATGAGGGCCGTATTTCTACAAATCAATCCCTGCATACAAAGAGTGGGGATTAGAAGCAATTACATGAGAAACTTAGGCAGACCTAGAGAGAAGGGAACAGACACCCCCCTACCTTTATTCTAGAGTTTTTATTTATTTTACAGAGGTGTAGACTGGGGTAAAAAAAAGCAGCATGTTGTTTCTGTGCTGTGCTTCATTTTTCACTGTTGGTTACTCCAGATCAAGCCAACATCTCTAAAACCTGAGATGTTCACACTGTCCCGGCCCAGCAGAAGGCCACGATCCCAAACTGCACCATCGTGTGTTGGTTACAGTTTCCCAGGGGGCTCACTAGCAGTGGTCATACCTACGACTATCTCGCTCCAACAGGCATGGAAAGGCAGACCCACGCACTAAAACATACCGCTACCTAGTGACTGAATGCTTGCTACTACCAGGTTCAGGTAAGAGCCAAATGAACCATAGCATATCCCAGCTGCATAATGAAGATGGTCACAGCATAGATGAGAGAATACGTCATGTTTCTAGCCAGGTAAGAAGAGGAATGTAGAGCAGGACTACCTTGAATCCCATAGGGAAGTGTATCAGGTAGAGGTCAAGGTAGTCCAGTTGCAGTGCAGCGAGGCTCTTCTGGCATGCTACCTTAACCAGGGACCTCTCGTGAAACGTGTTCCACAACTGTGGGAAGAAACCAAGCCCGACCATGACTCTACGGCTTCCACAGTCCAGACCAGGGGAGAGAAGCTTCTCCCTTGGTGGTCTGGGAAGACAACTCCCTCCCCACCTACCCAGTGCACACTGAATGGATGCCAATCCAATGGATGCCGATATTTTAGTAGTGAGGTAGGACAAACATACCACAAATAAGGGAGTCAGTAGTGAAGGTGGACAGTCAGTATTCATACTTATGAAAAGAGATTCTCAGAACTAAATGTAACACTCTGCCAGGTGCATCTGACACAGCAAAGCTGTTAGTGTTAGAACTTTTTTTTCAGCCTAAATTTTGAGTCTTGAGCAGCTCATAGCTAACCCTCCTTCTGTCCCTTTTAAATGGTCACAGTGAGAACTGTTGTCAATTTTACTTCATTTTTGAAATGAAAATTCAAGTCATTTAAATAGAAGAACTTGCAAGTACTATTCAAGTTAAAACCTGTTCTTTAACAAAAACAAAGAGCACGTGGAAAACCTTAGTTATGCTCAATGTTTTCTGCTTTTGTTGGTGAAAACCCCACGTCATAAGTTTTTTAGTTGAAGTGTTCTCACTTTTTGGTAAAGGGCATTGCTGAGACAAGTAGATGAGATGAAGAAACGGAGTAAATACAGGAAAAATACTTCTGTCTGACATCCCGTATTTTAATTTCTATTCCCTTTCAGGCTTACATTTTTTTACAAGACACCATTTTCAAATGTCTTGTAAACCAGTAAGTAGCACAGCACCTCTGAATTCAGACATCTGCCTTGTCTTTTTTTTTCCCTGATCTTTCCAGGGTGCATGCAAATGAACCTTCAGTATAATTAAGTTACTTTAATAGATGCAAGGAAATTATTAGATCAGCAACAGCCACGCTATCTTTCCAAAGCTGTCAACGGTTCCTTAGGTAAAGCTCAGTCCAAATTGCAAATAAAGGATGGAATTTATAGCACACAGCAAGACAACCATGAAATTAATAAGTCACAGAAGGGAATAAGTCCTTAGGTTACTTTACAGATGGAACAAGTGTTTCTCTTTGGGAAAAGCTAAATGCCCCAATAATCCTGCATCCTTGTACCTTGGTGACAATGAAGAGGTCTTCCCGTTTCACAGCCCCCTCCTTGATCTTCTGCTGGATTGCATTCCCTATTTCATTTTCATTCTGGTAGAAATAGGCACAGTCGAAGAGGCGGTAGCCTGTATCAATAGCAAACTTCACCACCTCTTCCACCTTTCCTGGAGGAGCCTGAAAGCAAACACAACCAAACCATGAGCTCTTCTGTGGCCTTCTGCCAGCGCTCTGGCAGACGCTGCTGCGACAGCTCTGCAAAGTCTCCCTTTCCAGCTGCTGCTGGCGTTTCCTTGCCACCTGCATTTAAACTGAGTTTCAACTTCCCAGGC